AAATATGCGAACTTGATTTGGGGCAGACTCCATAAAGAGATTAAATGTAGCAGGTTATTGTAATAAGTTAATCATGTACTGTCGTCTACAACTTATAAACTCAATGCTAGAATGCTTCCAGAATGTGCATGTTTCTGCTTATTCTCATCGCTACTGCAGATGCATTGAAAATACTACAGATCGTACCAGGATTCACTAATAGTCATGTACTGTTCAATTATCGATTGGCTGAAACTCTGAAGTACGGTAACCTTCAAATTTTCCCAAAAAATGAGTACGCTTGCATTATTGATAAAACTCCTAACCTTTCGTATTTTGATAAACAGTGTCACTAAATACATAATCGCAGACTGTTACGTTTTCAAAAATCCGATTCATTACAAGCGCAATGCTAGATTTTTTGTTATAAGAAATTGCCCTCCTCTCCTCTTTTTCCTTCTAACAGCAATTTTAAATTTTCAGTACATCGTTTAATCTGGACAGCGTAGATACTATATTGTTCCAGATTCCTCGGCCATGATGTGAAGATGTGGACACAAATGGAGATGGCCATGTTGGACACGGGAAACAACCGGCTACCCGCAGGTGTAACGGAACATCGTATAGCTATCCATTTTAAGGATAAGCTTAAAACCGAAGGATTGAAGGTGGGAGCATAATAGGGTTAGCATCAAATCAATAAATTTGATTAAACTTCTTTAAAGGTGTTTCAATCTCTAATGTTCTCCGCTGGAGATGCTTACGATCTATGGTGGACAGGACAAGAGTTCAAGGACATGCGTGTCGAAGCATGCGCCCAAATGTTAAATCATGACGAAGAGGTAGGGATAAAGAATTATTTTGTGGCTTAAGTTTCTATGAATTTAGCATTCCATTATTATCCTTTTTCTAATCCAAATAAACTTATGCATATCTCTTGTCTCATGATGGAAATATTGTCTCTTGATGGGTAAAATGAGAACAAGATTGTTTTAGACAGAAGCTTATGGGACAGTCTAGTAGATTATGCTCAAAGTATAGAAATAGAAATAAGTTCATATTGGATTTAACTGCTTGGGGCTACCCATGTTATGCTAGGCTTGGATTGTTGGAGGGTAGTTCTCAAGTTGTACTTTAGCATTCCAGCTATCAGCTAGTTCTCCGAAAAACTGAACGTTTAGATCTTATTCCTAAGTAGTTATTTGAGCGAAAATGCTAAGTGCAGCCTGTTTTTTAAGATAGAAATAGAATTGGATGGCAATTCTGTTCTCTGGCTGAAACTACGAAGCCAAAGGACACTCCTCTTAAATCATCAAATCTTTAACAATTTTGGCCGGTTTATCCTTGAACTTTCAGGTTTTTGCTCAGTTTCGCGCCGAAAAGTTCGATCTAGCCATTGCTCACTTCCATGATCTTTGTCCATTAGCAATTGCTGAGAAAATAGGAGTCAAGAAGGTATGTACACAACTACAACTACATTGTTTTTGATAGAGAATTTCAATAGTTGGGCTTCAGTTAAAAAAATGACGATGAAGCTCACAAAGTGCACCTTTTTAGGTTGTTTGGATCACTCACGGCACATCAATTTATGACTTTGCAGCGGTGCAACTGGGGTTGAGGACATTACCAGCAAGTGTGCCACATCCGCTATCATCAGGTTGGATTACCCCCATAATATATTCATTATCTTAAACTACAAAGTGCGGATAGTAGAGAAACAAAAAAGGTTCAAAACGACCAAAATACTTAGGTTAATTTTTGGGTGTGTCCTTCTCTCATTGTATTAATTTTTATGATAGTAGATGAACCTAAATAGCTCAACTTCAAAAGAATAGAAGGCCAAGTCTGGAAATTGGCACTATTTGGAGTTTTTCTTTTATTAATGGAAAAGTAAGGTAAGCAAGACAAATGTGGCTCTACAAGATATGTCAGGTCGTATAAAAGGTGTTCTTGCTCCTTTCCAAACAAATATGTCTTTTTCTAATTAACTTTACCTCCACTCTCAACTCACAACTTTAGTCTACGCATCATTATTGCTTGCCTTACGATGCAATTGATCATAGCGAGCAGTCTTCTTGGAGTTCCTTCCAGTAGTCGATATTTGAATAAATATTCAACTCACTTTCAGCTGGTTTCACTCAATCATTTTCGGATCGAGTGTTCAACCTTCTATGGCATCTATCACTACTCGATTTTGTCAACTTACCTCAGAACCTCCTTCACGATGAGAATGAGTACTATCGAAGTATTTTCCAATTATTTTTTCGTCCTGATCTACTCAAACTCAAACTAAAATTCTTAGATTTTGTCGGAAAAAATAGTCCAGATCTATGGGATCTTTCAAAACAAGTGCCAGCATTGCTGATTAACGGAGAACGAATGTTGGATTTCCCTAGACCGCTACCTATCCATATTACCTTTTCTGGAGAACTTGGGCTCAAAAAAGGTTTACAAATTTCCTGCAAAAAACGTTATTTTTCCCAAAATAACCAAAATTATCTTTCCAGCTGCGAAAAAAGTCGAGTTCGATGAAGAACTTCGTTCGATACTCGAACAACCGTCCAAAGGACTCATTGTATTCTCATTGGGTACCGTATCAAACACAACAAATATGCCGGAACAAATGATCGTGAGTGCTTAACATCAAAGGGACAAATAATGCTGGTTTTATTTCAAATTACTGTTTTCAGAAATCGTTTGTTGGAGCGTTTGCGCAACTGAGTGACTATACAATTCTGTGGCGAATGGAGGGTAAGGTTAGGTAATCTCATACTTTATTTAGCTTTTTTGCCATGTAGCTTTATCTATTGAGCTAGAATAATGCGCTAGTAAACAATGGCCTGAATATGATGATAACGTATAGTAATCTAAAAGATAACATGAATAGTTTAATGAATAGTACTATAAATCCTCTTTAGAAGCAAATTGCCCTTCAAAATTTATAGAACTTGCACGAGTGGAGTGATGGAAACGTGCCTCAGAACATCTATATTTGAGATAGAAGGCGCCTAATTAGATTTGGGATATTTTCAAAAATGGAGTACTATATTTGCCATATACAAATTTTTTTGGTTGTTCTAAGGTATGTGATTTCTCGTTTCTTTACATTTCGTGCAAACATAGGTTAGATACATAGAGCCACGGCTCTGGTCACCTTCACTAATGAGTGAAGAAAGGGTAGGACCCT